AGATCTTTTACGTTATAGCGATTGAGGAGATTAAAATAATGCTAACATCTCGCAGTATTTGTGTTCTCTCTGTTCTAACGAATTCGATAAAGAGGACCCAGTGTTTTGACATTCATATTGTCAACGCCATAGCTCTGAAAAATGAAGGGGGTCATTTGAGTACACGTGAAGAGAAACGGCTTCAAAATGAACGTTGATTCGATTGCAATTTTTTAATCTTTGTTATTCAGTAAAACTGAGTTATTCAGCAAGCCAGACATCATTCGCACCCCCGATATCTTACTATTACCCAGCACATGCTAATTCAACGCGGTAAGGTGTACAACGAGCAGTCATAAGCCTAGCTCTCAGCTATCGAACGCGGTATAGAGCGAATACCTTGGCCAGTTGACTAGCAGCACCCAACACACATCGGCAATACTTCGGTGACTTGCTCTAAGCACTGCTTATTTGTCTTAACAACTACAAAGCAGGTTTCTTTTGAAAGAGTTGTAGCATTTCACGGTTCAAGGGCATCCATTCTCAATTTCACAATTCAGACACATTTTTTCCACGAAGGTTGCGATTTCCCCACCGTGACGTCAGAACTGGTACCATGATATGTGATCTAACTAATAGAAACATGTTTGAAGAGGATTGATAGGAGGGGAGTCTCGAGAACATTGAAACAGAAGTGGTTAGCGATAACCCACGTGAAGAGTTTACGATGGTAGTTAGTTGATGCAATAATGAGATTACGATTGTAATCGGTGTTGGTGATGGTCCTTTGGTTATAAGGTGAACGATGGAGAATGATATCAACGAAGTAAAGAATGGGATTGAAGTATTCTTTAAAAACGATCGTAAATAAATAGCAAAAAGAGGTTAGGTGCAAGCATAAGACCTTGGAGAATACCGGGGTCCACAGGGAGCGACTAAGATAGAATCCCATTGACTCGGATGGTGATGGTTCGCTTGCTGAAGAAATTTTACAGTCACGAGTCATCCAGCCAATGAAATCCAATCTGGCACTGTTAGCAAAAGTGATTCCCATTATAGCTTGTTCAGAGTCAATCCCTTCTCGGTCCACGAAAAGGCGAAGG